TGCCCTCGCCCTCCCCGGGGAGCCTGGCAGCGCGCCCTCCCTTCCCCCGCCCTCCCGAGGGAAGTGGGGGAGGAAGAGGGAGGGAGGGCTGTTGTCTGTGGTGAGCTCTCTTTTCTCCGTCTCTCTCACCGCGCAGTGCTCGGATTGAGTCAAACCCTTAGCTGCCTCAAGTCAGGCGCGATCCTTTCATTTGACCTCATCGATGATCTTGCGTTTCCTCAGCCTGCTACGGGGTTTCTGGGGTTCAGTTTTTCATTTCCATGTCCCACCTCCCTCTCCGAAAGTGAGCGGTTTTTTTTTTTTTCAAGTTTTCGCTGCTACTACGATCGTTTTCCACACATGATAGGAGTGTATATGGGATCTGCCAGAGTCGGTTCCTGTAAAATCTGCTTATGAGGCCCCAATATTGAAAGGTACAGGAGCAAGTATGCAAGTTATAGATGAAGGTGGAATCAGTAGGCAAGTTTATGTAAAGTCATCTCTAACTGAAATAGTGTTTCCTCAAGAAAGTTTCGAAGACAAGTTTAAGTACCGCTAATGTTCAGGGCTTGTGGAACAGGTTAATAAGTTTCTTTTGGCTTTTTTTTCTTCTTAATTATGGCTTCTAATTTCCCATGCAAAAAGTATAAGACTGTTTGTGGCTTCCCACAGAGTTGCATCCCAACAGCTCTAAAACGGAAGTCATAACTTTCTTCTCTCGTTTGTTGTAGTTACGGAAAGCAGTAACAGTTATGGCTAGAAGTCTTTCTGTGCCTTTAGAAGCCCGTTATTGACTTGCTTTGTTATCTGGCTCTGTTTTGAAGATCTGCACAGCAAGAAATAAGCTTTTTTTTTTTTTTTTTTAGCAGAGAAAGCTTATTTTCCATATTTTAATCTATTTGTGAATGTCTCTTGCTTTTAAATGTACAGGCCTTTTTAAAGCTGTATCTTTCAGGCTTTTACATGTCCTTTTAATGAAGTTTTGGTATCTTGGAGTACTGGGAGCGTGCATCATTCTGAGTTTCCATTTTTCTGCTCTTTTAGGTGACTAGTGCTATATGACGTTTGTGCCAGATAAATTTCAATTGCAGCAGCCGGCTTTGTGGGACAAGTGGTTGGTGTGCTCTCCTCCTCCCACAGAGCTTCACATTTGTAATACTTATTTGAAAACAGTGAACTGTCCAGAGGAAATGAGATACAAATTTGGGTTTCTTACTGATGGTGGCAGCGATAATGATAATACCTTACACTATCCTTCTGAATTTTTGGTTATTCTTTGAATGTCTTTATTGCCTACAAACTCAGAAAGTTAACTAAGGCAATAAATATGAAGGGTTGATGCTCTGCTTCTGTACAGTTTCAAGCAGATGTGCATTTAAATTTGTCTCCCTGAAGTCACCTTGCTCTTCCCTCCCTTCCCTTGCCCTGGCTTTTATAGAACAGTTTTAATAGTAAGTCTGTAGCAGCTGAGTTATTGGAAGGTACCTCTGTAAAGCTGCTGGGGTTCACAGGGTGTGTTTGTCTTTTAAAACTTTATTTATTTATTTCAGGGAAGTTTCTTATCACTTCTATTCATGTAATTCTCTTCACTTTCAGTTACTGGGGGAACAACTTTGAGGAAACAAGACTTGAAGCATGTATTTGCACCAGGGAATGGTGTCTTACCAGTTTTTCATTCCCAATCCTTAGGTGAATGGCCTGTAACAGAACATGGCAATTTCATGTCTGTTCCAGTAGAATTTAATTCAGCTGCCATTTAAAAGTTATTCAAGTTATGGCAACTTTATTCCATGTTTTCCTAACATGAAGGAGAATCTTGTCTTCCTCCACAGGGTTGAGAAATAGTTACCTGCAGGAAATGTAGTACAAATCTTCTGTTCATTTATTTGTATGTGAAGTGGAATTTTTCCATTAGCTCTGTTTCTGGGTCTGATTTGGAAGGCATGAGTCTTCCAGGCTAATTTCTCAGTAATGCGTGTCTACGTTTTTTAGTTGCTTGCTATTGCTTCCTCTAATAGTGACTAGGATCATATAACTTGTTGGCTGAACTCAGGTATTAGGTCAATTTACCATCTCTTACCTTTTTAATCGTAACTTCTTTTTTTTTTTTTTCTGCCTTTGGTCAGCTATGGAAGGAAAAACTGATGTGTATGCTTTTTATTCCTTCAACTGTAAGATAGTAAAGTTCTTTCCTTTTACTTTGGAAGGTGATTGCTTGCATTGTCACTTTCTCTTGTTATGCTTAAAGCAAGAATTACTGTTTGCAAGTAAATATGCCTGGGTTGCTGAAACACCTGGTCTACAATAAGACCCTTATTTTTTCCCGGACTTCATCTGTAGCATGGAGATGATGATAGGGTGGACTCATAGGCTTTTTGATGGGTGTCAGGCAGCTTCCCCCCTTGTAGAATAATCTAAAATATACTCCCAGTACTGCTGTAAATGAGCAAAACTTTTCAGCCCTGTATAAGTGGTTATAAAAATGATAATTTTTTTTTTCTAGCCTGGAACAAGAATCAGTGTTGTGCAGCTGGCAGAGTGCATGGATTCTCTGACCCCCTGTTTTGACTGCCACTCAAGATGTCATTAGGGCTTACATTCCTCTGAGGTGGCTGTCTGTTGGAAGCTGAGCTGAAGATCAGCCTGCTTTGCCTTTATAGACTCTTAAGAAGTCAGACCTGTTTACTCGTATGAATGATGGAAGGTTGTCTTTATTCTTAAGCATGACTTGCAGAGTGACATCTGCTTTCTTGAGAGCTTGGTAAAGGTGCATAATATCGCCTATACTTCTGTACAGTTTGTAGTGATTACTTGGATTTACCATGAACTGTGTCTAGAATGCACAGAAGTACCATATTACTAGAATAGATTTATGAGCTTGTATATTTCACCACTGATAACAGCTAAAGAAATAACAGCAAAGTAAATTGGGCAATCTGACTCTGTTTTCTCAGGAGAGCTAATTTAAATCTTGGGGTGGGGTAGGATAGCTAGATTAAACTTGGTTCCAACCATTGCTATTACTAAGGCTTTAACTTTCCTGTTTCCTGTTTGTTTTCTCACTCCCAGTAAATTCAAGCCAAATTTTAATGTAGAGAGCTCTTTCTTCTTAGCTGCTGATAAAAACGCTCCTCTTGGTAAAGACAGTGCAGAAACAGCTACTCACAAAAATAGACCCAATTAGACAGCAGGTGAGGCATGTTTTTTCTGCCTAGGTGACATGAGAAAAGTCTTTCTGAAGTTGCTGTAATGCACTTTCATCATTTCTGTATCAGGCATAGTAATATGCACAGATTAAAAATTCAGCGTTTGCTGTGATGGTGTGTAGGAGTAAGGGAATAGAATATTTTTTTCTTTTATTTTTCTTTCTTTCTTTTTTTTTTTTTTTTTTTGGAACACAGACGCAGTCTAGGAAACTCTGTGAGACTTGTTTCAGTGTAGGATGAAGACTTGTTTTATGCACTGGTAGGAACAGATTATAGGCTGGATTCCTTAACGATAAAATGAGTTTTAAAAGGGTTAGATGAAAGCTCCTAGCAGACTGTTTTAAAAACTACCAGCAGGTTTCCAGCTGGATGGGATATATATGGTAACTATTCACTTTATTGCAAGAGATCATGCACAATGACTTTTTTTAGCAAAACCAGCAGCTCTTAATTTATCTTAAACTTCTAAACAGTAACCTTTTATTTTCATCTTCTGCTGAGGTAAACAGATTACTGTTAAGGTCTTTTTTAAAAACTATATTTCAACTTGCAGGTGGATACAGGCATACAGATGGCAGATAACAGGTATGTTGGACTATATTTTCTTGAAATTAAATTTATGTAGCTATACCCCAGCCAGTGGGGTATATTTACTAATAGGCTAAGGAAGTAATAACAAGCGTGCCAAAGGCATAGTTTTGTTTTCTAGTTTGTAAGCGTTTTTAGAATAAATAGCAAGTTTAAAAAAAAAAAATACTATTATCTGTTTAACTTGCTGTTTGTGGTACTGCAGTAGTCCCTTTCAAGGGACTGCACAGGAGTAAGTTGAATAACTTAGTCTGGTAACTAGTAATATCCATTTGCGTATGTGATAATTGCTTCTCCTTTTGTATCTGAGTTAAGATTCATTTTAGCAATTCCTAACCTATGTTCTGTGACGTGTGAACTGGCTGGAAATATGGGAATACTTACTGACTGCTGACTCTTTTGGGGTCTGTCTTCCTCCAGCAGAGGAAATACAATGGAAGATATGTGGGGGGGGAGAGAGGGAGCATCTCTTCCTAGAGTAAAGTGGATGTTTTTACTGTTAATCAAAACAATTTGGTATAGAAATTGTAGTCAAAGAACTCTGATCTTACTTGTTGATCTTGACACAAAAAATCATGTCTTTTAGTGGTATGCATCTTTATAAATCTTGCCCTGTAATAAACACTGAAAATTCAGAATGTTTCTATGCTTAAATATTACACTTTTACGAAGTGATTCCTTTCAGTATGTTTAATTTCTAATTCTTTTAGTAAAGCAGAAGATACTGCTTCAGATTCTGTGGAGGCTGCTAAAAATGCAAGTGACAAAAAAGGTAAGGAATAAATAGTAGTAGGTAACAGTGCAAGGGTGGGGTAACCCCATTGCCTTGTATATTCAAGCTCCTTTACCTACAATTCCAAAACCTCGACACCCAGAACTACATGCGTGTTTGTTATTAAAAGCAAAGCAATGTTTTTTAGGCTAATCGTTCACTTTCTGTTAAGGTACTTCCTCTTTTAGGCTGATGTTTTGCGTGCGTAGTGCAGCCAAGATAAAAATAAAAGCTTATATCTGCAATAGTGAAAATACTTTTCTATATATATATGCACTGACTAGGATGCATCACTATTGAATTAAATAGTCTAAAAACTTTCATTGAGACCTATACAGACTAGCTTTTAATTACTTTGATGAAAATTGTGTATTGTTACTAAAGGAGCAATCCTGCATGTATGCTGGTTCTTTACTATCTTAAGTTTAGGAAAATGCATCTTTATAAGAATGTCTTTTTAAAGTTCATGTTCTTTATTTGAAAGGTCTAGAGATAACTCTGCTGAATGGTACTTAAACTTTAAAATTAATACGTGTGTGTGCATGTGTTTGTGCGCACAGAAAAGCGTGAATGCTTGAATTTGTAAGTTACGTATAAAATACTGATATATTTCACTATATGGTTGCTGATTCTCTTTTAAAGAAAGCCTTCACGACCTGCAATGGGAAGTCACATATAAATTGGTGGATACCAGTGACTAATTCTTATGATCAATTCAGATTAAGTTTAAAAAAAAAAAAAAGCAGTGTAAACATTCATCAGGTTAGTGTGATGTGCACTTCAATAACTTTAATGGCTGGAGGGAAGAGCAGTGGAAAAGAACAGAAAGATTTGAAAAGCAAGCGTGATCTTCCCACTGTGACCACTTGTGCAGTTATCAGTGAGAATTTTTAACTCTTAACCTATAGCATTTTAGATCTGAACTCCCTTTAAAACAGTCTTCTCAAACAGTCCAAGAGCCACCACTGTAGAAGTCATATAAATTGTACAAGTATCTTGATGTTTTAGAAATTGGTAATGATCAAGTAAATGATCATAATGGTAGTCTGCTTTGTTCTACAATACTCAATCTTTTGTCAGTTTTTCAAGAGTAAGACTAAGTAGAAAAATGTTACAAGCGTCTTAGAAGTATAATTTGGTAGTTCTTCTCTAGCAAATTTATGGGTGGCTTGTGAACTAGAACTAGTATGTAGGGAGGATCAAGAAACTTGGATCTCCACCTTCTTACATACCAGGGAAGATGGGAAGTCTGCTCATGTCATCTGTGTGCTATTTACTTCTAGCAGCAGAGATTTGATACTTTTCCGAATAGAAGGATGCATTATTATCCAGCTTTATCTAGGTGAAATCTGAACCTGAAGTAACTTTGCTTCTGTTACCAATGTACTGTATTGGTGATATTTGAGACCTGAAAAATAGCCATTATTTTACTGTGACTACTGTGAGACAGACTTAATATGACAGGAGCTCTATGAATATATTCAGATTTGTTTTAAGAGCGGCTTTCTGTCTTCGTAGAAAAACTAGCAGACCAAGTGATGCAAAATCCACAGGTCCTGGCAGCTCTGCAGGAACGACTTGACAATACAGCGCTCACTCCTTCAAGTTATATTGAAACGTAAGTGCAGTGCCTAGTAAACTTCTTGAAAAACTGAAAGCATGGTAGAATATCATTACTGCATAATGAAGGTAAGAAGTTGGAGCAAATAACTGATTAAGAAAAATGGTTGACTTATGGCATGATTCGGTGACCTGTTTTTTGGAAAAATGAGTCAATTGTAGTTTACTTGTACAAAATTGAGAACAATATTTTGTCCAGTTTAGTATTTCCTTTGGCTGTTATGGATTTGGTTTGAAGTTACTTACATCAGCCTTTCCCTCCCTCCCCACGCTTTTGTGACCCTTAGCCTGTTAGGGCATGTGCTGCATTAGTGGCTGATTTCTATAAAATTACTATCAGGTTCGTAGTGGAAAATTTCAGGAACTGCAAAGCTTTTTTATCCCCCAGTTTGAACTTTACTGTACAGTTAACATAAGCCAAAGTTACTGTGAGCCACACTTTTAAATTTTACCTTGAGTAGAGATTAGTACTTTTATTTCTTGACTAGGGTTAGCTATTTTTAGAGACCCTTATTACAAATGCTGAAAAAAGTCGTTTTTATCTGACTGAATAGGCTCCTAATTATATCAAGTACAGATGGGCAGCATGTGTGTTTCTGAATATGACCCATGAATCCAAGTTTTCCCCTGCAGCATACACAATTCTCTTTCATAGATGGCCCGGCACAGCTGTAGTTGCATAAGTTTAGGCATAAACAAAGGTATTAATTTCAGATCACCGAAATGCACGGGGAGGTTAGTGACACAGGGAGTGAAATACCTTTGAGGACAAGCTGGGTAGGAGATGGGTTATTCCCCCTCCCCTCCAAACTTTTGGAATAAGTTTTGAAGAAATATCTATGTTTGACTTAAACTCTTTACCTAAAGTGAAATACACTGCTTATAGCTAAATCAAGTTTTATGTTAAATAATCCTGAGACAACTAACTTCTTAGGCTTACAGATTTGTTTGCTTTTAGTTTACCAAAAGCAGTGAAAAGAAGAATTGATGCCTTGAAACAGCTGCAGGTGAAATGTGCCCATATAGAAGCTAAATTCTATGAAGAAGTACATGATCTAGAGAGAAAATACGCAGCGCTCTATCAACCCCTTTTTGATAAGGTAGGAAGACTATGTATATCTTTACAGAACTGTTTTTCTCCTTATAGCTGAGTCGGTTCTGTCTGAATATATTTAATTGTGCTTATGTCAGTAGCTCATCCAGAGAGAATGTTAATCTTTGCTTGCTTTTTTCATTTTTCTTGCACAGAGGAGAGAGTTTATTAATGGGGAAGCTGAACCTACAGATGCAGAGTCAGAATGGCACAGTGAAAATGAGGAGGAAGAAAAACTAGCTGTGAGTATAAAAGCCGGGCAGTGAACTGCAGTTCTAACGTTTTCCAGAGTTAATGGCTGTGCAGCGTTTCCCATGGAAGAATTCCTCTTTTGGTTAATAAAGGTTTTTATCAATGATGTGTTATTTGGATGTCCAGTGAAAGCATTTAAACGTGTAATCTGCCTCTCTGTAAACTCATAACTTAAGCCAATTGAAATGTTGACTTTTTGCACTGTTCGTAACCTGTTAACAGTATCTTCCTGATGATGGGTTCCATTCCAGTGCTACATCATTCCCCAAGATAATAGAAGGCTGGCTGTTTGTCTGCCTGTCCCCTTTATTTTGGGGGACATAATTAGCTTTAATTTCCATAAACACAGGTTTGATACACAGAGATGTCTCCTGGTCAGAAAACAGAATTGATCTAATAGCTTGTGTGCTGGTTACTGACTTCGGACTTGTTTATTGAGAAGAGATCTAGGTTTAGGAAAGATGCAGTGGTGGGTAGGCTGGTTTTTACTTTCCTGTGATTGTTTTAGAGCATGCTCGCAGCTTGGACACTTTCCTAAGAGAAGCAGCCTACTTACAATGCTGTGTTTGGTCTTCTCTCGGGTTTTCTTTGCGTCTTTCCCTTGTCCTGTCTCCCTTCAGTTTCCTTTGGAGACTTCTGTCTGCAGAACGAATTCATTTCTTTGTATTACTGGTCTCCTGAGATTTAGCATGAGACAGTATTCTGCATGATAAGCAAGAAGGGTGGTTAGGCTTTGTATATATATGGCATTGACTGGCAACATTCCACACAATTGTAAGATCGGAAACAGGTCTAGATGACAAGTAAACTGCTGCTTTGTGCTCTTGATTAGTCCTTACCCAGTTGGCTGCTCTTTAAAAGAATATTTGCTGCCATCTAGTGGTGTATAAGGAAAGGCGCAGTACAACTAATTCAGACTGCGGATTTCCTGTTTGTGGAATGGCGAAGCGAGTTGACTCACTTTTGCTAACGCTTGACCTCTGTTAGGGAACTCTGAGGGTATCACAAAAGGTTAACCGCTCAAGGCAGTGTAATAATGAAAAATAATCATTATACTGGCAAATTCTGCTGGACGTTCCGCAAAATTGTTGGGAAGACTATACAGTGTTTCAGAGGGCAGAGGCTAATTTTAAACTTTGGATAAATGATGAATGAGACTACAGGGAAGAGATGAATAAAAAATGCAAACGTAGTTTACTTTATTAATTTGTGGAAAAACAAACACATTTTTTATCTTTGTCAAGTTACTACAACTGTCGCTCAATCTATTTCCTGTGTGTAGATAAGAATTCCAAAAGAGTTGAAAGTGAGTCTGAATTCCATTGTGTGTACTTCTAAGTGTGTGAATAAACCTCTCATGTTTCTTAGCTTCATTTACAGGAAAAAAAGTTGCTTACACTTAAAAAGCTCTTTGAACAAAACTTCAGAGATGGCAAACATCCTGAATATCTACCTCTGCTTATTAAATACATTGAAAAGTCATGGTTTAATTTCTTAACTGTTTCTTTATTTGTTTCACAGGGAGACTTGAAAAATGTAGTGGTAATAGAAGAAAAGGCAGAAGAGACAAATCCTAAAGGAATTCCAGACTTCTGGTTTACAATCTTTAGAAATGTAGATATGCTAAGTGAATTAGTACAAGTAAGTTTCTCCTGTTGTTTTCCCCTTGGTTATCTTAATTGATATATATTTTTTTAGTGCTGTTAAGGAATAATACCCTGAAGCCTGTGAATCTTATCGGCAATAAAAAATCATGAATGAAGTATTATTTTCAGAAGTGTTCATGCAGCCTAGCAAGGTAATGCTTTTAGCTGCCGAGGACGAGGCTTAACGATTGAGCATTTGGCACGTGATATTTGTGCCAAGCCAGTCATACGGAGGGTGAATCCATATCTGAATTTCAGCCGAAATCTTGGAGAAGTACAAGGTCCTGTTGTGTTGTAAGAGCAGGTCAAGCAAGTAGACTAGATGAGGTTAAAATGTTGCTCTTCTAAAACTGCCTGCTCAATAAGCATTTCTTTATTCTTTGTAGGAATATGACGAACCAATCTTGAAACACCTGCAGGATATTAAAGTTAAGTTCTCTGAACCTGGACAGCCTATGGTAAGTTTTCTCTAGTTGTTTTTTCTGAAGGTTGTAGTAATGCTGTTGTGAGCAGCAGTTCAGAATGTTTTCGTTCTGTTATGTTTTGCTGGAACGTATGGGGGATGCTTTCCAGGATAGTATCTCCACGCTTCGGTTTTTTTAATTTATCTCTAGTTTTCCTGACCCTGTTCTGGCTTATCCTTAGCCTTCTCTCTATCACTGTTATAGCTTCTGAATTCTGGTTCTGTTCGGTCTATGCTAGCTTTCACTTTTTGTTTTCTCTTTCAAATTCCAAATAAGCTATTCTTACTAGCAAAGTGAAACGGCTGCTTTTGGTTTGAAAAGGAATCTGTTGTGGGGAAAGTTGTGTACTACAAAATACTTCATTAAAATAAGAAATGAAATATGTATGCCTTAGGTATTTTAATCAGAAACAACTATGATGAATACAGTGCCTGTGCAGAAGTATAGAAAATACACTTAAAAGGCTACCTAATTTATCTAATGGATAATTTTAAACTTTGACTTTTTTCAGAATTTATCTGTATATAAGTTCAGCATATAGTGTTTATCTTGCAGCTACCATGTCAAAAACGAATAGTTTTGTTGTCGTGCATGTAGTTTACGTAGACTATACTTATTCCTTAAACCTCATTTGAGGAGGAGACGGCAGAGAGAAGAATGTTTTTTGGGCTCCCCCCCCCCCCCCCGTATATCTTTATTTCGCTGAGTTTTATGGAGTTGTAGTCATCTGATAGACAGTCTAAAATAAGCACAAGAGATGCTTCATTGCCGAATCAAGAAAGAGAGATGGGTGGATTTTCTCCAAACATGAAGCAAGGTTTTTGGTCCTCATTGTTTCTCCTGTTATTATCAAGTCAAGTTTTTGGTAGTGTGCAAGGGGGAGCGGTAGGGGTAGAGATGGGCTGGAAGTTTTTAAGCTCTACAATATGGAATGGATGCGAGTTTAAGGAAGAACTGTTTAAGCACAAACTAAGTATTCTAAAAATATCTTGAAGCATACCTATTCAGTGGCAGTCAGATAATTTGGAGACTAGTTGTTTTGAACTATAATACTTTTATTTATTCTTATTCAGCTTTGCTTTACAGTACCTTAAGTTGAAGCTCTTCTGCTCTTAGGACAACAGTGGATTTATTTTGTCTCGCACTGTTCGTAACCTCTTGACAGTACATACCTGTGAATAGGTTCCATTCCAGTGCTACATGAAATCCAATAATAGAAGGCTGACAAATTCTGTGTCTCTTCTGTATTTGGAGACAAATGGATGCATTCCTAACCTCGAGTGAAACCTGCTCTCCAGTCTTGTGTGAATGTACTTTCTGATTATTAGAAACTGCTGCATTGTGTATTGCAGTTGCTAGCTTATATTGCAAAAAGTTTCCCGTTCTGGTGTGTAATGAAAACCCTAATTCTCCTGGGGAGTAAGTTACAACTAAAAGATACGTAATTGTCAGGATTTTCTGATTTACCTTCACCCCGAGAGATCCGCTGTAGTTGTTGTCCTTCAGAAGTAGATTTATCTCATTACACTAATATATTGGTGCTTCCTTTAAGTTCTGTGCACTGTAGCCTGTATCTAAACTTTTAACTGAAACTTAAATGGTTCCCTTTCTGTTTACTTTCTTATGTGTGCATGTGTATATATGTATGAAGGCATATGTTCTTATGCATATTTGCATAAAAATAGAAGTCAGACACAACAAGAGCTCCACGTACTTTCCTGTTATTTCACATTAAAGCTAAATTTCTTTTGAGATTAACGTTGGATGTCAGGATCCTTAGTTAGCGTAATGAAACCCTGATGACCAGTCTGGGTATGTGACTTAGGTAGCTCAAAATAAGGAAGATTTTTGAATTTCATTAGAACACTTTCTCATGCTACAGGAAGAATGTAGAAATACAGGGGGTCAATTCAAATATGATCAAAACCAGCTTTTTCAGGCTGTTAAGTGTTTAAAATACATTATAGTCTTAGTTAGACTTGAGTTTGTAAAGTCTCTTTTTTTTTTTTTGGTTTTTCAGTTTTTTTGGCAGAGTATTCTACTCTCAAATGAAAAAACAAAACTCTCGCTCATGGTAGAGAGCACTCTTTAACTGTGCTGACGCCTGCAATATAAATATTTTAATTAAAAAGTTTGTTTCAATATCATGAGATTTCTCAAATACTCAACACCTTCCCCCCCGCCATATTCTTCTAAAGTGGTTTCAACCAGGTGTTCATAGAATAAGAAACCGAGACTTCTCTTGACGTACTTGTTTTTAAGGTTGCTTTTAAGGTAGCAGTAATATATGTAAAGGTGAACAAAATGTAGTAGGTTGCCTGATGATAATTTGAATATTAATGTTAACCAAGGCTGTTCTAGTGGTTGCATGTTCAGAATTGGTTCACATTCTTCATTTCCTGATTTTGTTATAGTGAAAGATATATTTGCTACCAAGTTCTTGATTTTTCTTATGTTCAGAGTTTGGTAGTTCTGATGAATCACTCTTCTAAAAATGAAAATTAGTGGTAACTATAATGGAACTTTCTTCTAGTCTTTCTCATTAGAGTTCCACTTTGGGCCCAATGACTACTTTTCTAATTCAGTCCTGACAAAAACCTACAAGATGAAGTCGGAGCCAGACAAGACAGATCCCTTTTCATTTGAAGGACCTGAAATAGTTGATTGTGAGGGGTAAGGAAAACTTGAGCATAAAAATATTTTTGAATTTCTAGTGAATATTTTCCAGATGCTGTTTTCTTTTAATGTGGTAGTAATTAATGACGATAAAATTTTTGCTGATTTACTGTAACTGGACGCTGCCTTGACCTGATATATTGTTTTTACTGGTCTTGCTGTTTGAAGAATCATTCTCATCTGAGACTTTTCTGGAACAGCTGTAATCATTTCCTCAGCTGCAAAACTGAAATGGTTGGGGCAAAGAGGTGTTAAAAGTTCCTGGGTGGAGGAGGTGTTGCAGGGGGACTGTCCTCTATTTCCACTACAATGATTACTCTCATAAGACAAACTATGTAGCTTTTTTGTTTCAGGAAATACTTGATATGCCCAACATGTATATAGTCTCTAGCACTGCGGTGCGTCTTAAACATCTTGTCAGGTACATTTAAGTTGCTGGTGTGCATAAAATCAGCTTTATCTAGAGGATGAAAAACTAGCTAACTAACTCCCTTGATGTCCTGTATTAAAACAGTGTTTTCCATATGTTGTCTTTAGGTGTACTATTGACTGGAAGAAAGGAAAAAATGTTACGGTTAAAACAATCAAGAAAAAACAAAAACACAAGGGCCGAGGCACGGTTCGGACAATTACTAAACAAGTACCTAATGATTCTTTTTTTAACTTCTTTAACCCAATAAAGGGTAAGTGAAAATGGGAATTTAAGGTTCTTAAAATATGCTGTGTGTTTATATTTAAATCCAGCTTAAATGTACAAACTGCATCTTTGTTGCTGCATTGTATACTTGGTTGTTAATGGAGGAAAATAGCAGGCTATAGCTCATTAGAATAGCACTTTTTTCCTTGGCAAAATTCTACAGGAAAAACTGGTGTGCAATGTAAGCACGATTCCTAGTTTGGAGGGAGGTTCTTGTAGAATCCTCTTGAAGTTGACCTGTTTTACCACAGGATGGCTCCATACATCAGTTTGTTTTTAACTCACTTTCAGTTCTGGTCAAGTGCCAGCATAGTGGTTTCACTTAAATCTTTGTGTTAAGTGAAGGAACTTTCTGTGGTTTCCTCTGATTAAATTAGTGATGATGCCTGATGCTTCATATGAATTAGGATGCCTTCCTAATGTTACTCGGTATCTAGTGTTAGATGTGTACTTACATAGTTTAAAACAGTTTAGGTGTATTCCAATAATGTTATATCTTTCATTAACTCTTCTGTTGGACTGCTTCTTCTAGCTATGTTTGAAAACCAGTATATTTTGAACTTCAGAGATGCACTAAACAAAACTGCTAGTTCCTGATGGTCACGTGATTTTCATGAACTACCTGCCCTTTCTAAATCCCATTACAAATTCCTCTTTATACATGAACGTATAAATGGAAATACATGATAAGTATTTCCAAAGCTGGAGATTTTAGTACAGAAATGCCCTTTAATTTAAGAGAAAATTGTTTGCATATAGAACATATGTAGAGACCGCTTTCCAAAAGCGATCGTGATCCGTTTGCCTCATGATGGTTTTATATTGACTTAAAACACAGTCATACCTAGTTTGGAGGTAGCTATATAGGACTGACATCTGGTGGCAGTTGATACTTGTATTTTGAACTTGCAAACAGATTGAATTGAGAGTTTGCTTTATCTCACAGTAGGATCACAATTACTGCACCTGAGTAGAGAAGGGAAACATGGTTTTTTTTTTTTTGGGGGGGGGTTGTGTTTAAAAACACAAAAACAAAACGAAAAATCCTGTTCCTTAATCCTGCACAGAGAATTTATAACCACATTTATAAAGTGTGTGTTGTTGCAGTACCAGGCCTTTTCTCAACAATAATATTTTGTCATGAGTTTGCAATGTACCTGGGAGTAACTGTGTTTGTAGTACTGCAGCAAGATAAACTAATTACAGCATTACCGCAGATAAAAAAAAATGTGCTATTGGTTGAGAAAGTGTCTGGTCTGTCTGTATTAGGAACGCATCTTGTAGAAGAATATTTCCTGTGTAAAAAATTTGTGTCATCAGAATGGTAGCTTTGGTGTTCTTACTACAGGAGTTAATTCTTGCGAGTATGATGTGTTGACTTGAAAGTTCAGTTCCCGTGGGTTAGACTTGAGATTAATCCCAATATTTTCTGGTGTGAGAAGGTCTTTATACTGTTTTTTGCCATCTTGAATAGATGGGCTAGACTGTATAAACGGTTCTTGAATTTACTGTCTTTTCTCTTTGTAGTATCTGGTGATGGAGAGTCATTGGTGAGTTTATACTTACAAAATGTGCACAGTTGCTTTGCTGTATCCTTTTGCTGAACAGCTCTGTACTGACTCTGTTCAGATTCTTTTATCAAGAGATTGTGTATTCATTTTGTTTTTGTGAGATTTGAGGTTAATCTTGGTAAAACAAAGTACTACCTTCTCTCAGTAATCTTGTGATATTTTGCTATTATGTATCTTGCTAATACAAAACATCTCTATAACGATCACTGTTGGGAAAAGGGCATTATTTTCTTTAGCACTCAGCTCTCCTATGTGACTGGTAACAGACATCCCACAAAGCAATCTAAAGCTAATGTCTAAAGCAAAGTCTATATGACTCTTTTTAATAGTCTGTTTCAGTAGTCCAATAGCCTGTATGTGAACAGTAGAAAGATTTTAAATTCTATCTAACTTTCCCAAATCGGGATTTAGACTTCCAGTATTTTTTTTAAATTGTTATAAAGTAAGTATGCTGTAAAGCGCGCGAGTGATCTAAAGTCGATGTTGATGACAGTGTGATGTTTCTGAAACCTATAACTCCGAAATACTTTTGTTCGCTCCTCTGTAGCATGTTATATATATTTAGTGGTAAAATCAAATTGACTTGCTTTACAGGATGAAGATTCAGAGTTTACCTTAGCAGCAGATTTTGAAATTGGTCACTTCTTCCGTGAAAGGATAGTCCCTCGTGCTGTGCTTTATTTCACTGGGGAAGCTATAGAGGATGATGATAACGTATGTATGCTATCAGCATGTTGTTTATAAAACCACCCTGCACCTAGAAACATTCTCTTACTACTTTTCTGATTAGACTAGTATATAATAATTCCTTGAGAATAATGAAAAGCTCAGAGATTCATAATTACTTGGGAATGGGAAAGAGATGCACAACTTATTATAATTTGTTAGTCTTTTCTCCTGGAAGTGGCTTAGTTTCAGGTACTGTGCTTGAATGTGCTAGATGTATTACTGCAGAAGATTTTATGCAAATATTAGCAGAGCTAAATCTTTGTTTTGCTTTTTAGTTTGAAGAAGGTGAAGAAGGTGAAGAGGAGGTGAGACATACTGTATCTTTTGTAGAAGGCTAATTATTAACTGTATTCAAGTTCCTGAAATAGTTCTATATGCAGCAGAAAACAGTTGTTCCTATATGGTCCTGGATGTGATAGCCCTTTTCAAAAGGGTTCAGTGTTCATGAGTTATAAAAGCTGTATTTGTTTTTCTTCTTGATATAATTACTTTCTAGAAGAATATTTATTCAATTTCGTAGTATTTCGAAAGCTACTTTCTGACATGAGTCAAAATTAATTAAAAAATAAACTCTCCTCTTGAATGCTGCCTGAGGAGATCCTCTGATCTTATCTCTTCGATATCTGTTAACTTTGGTAGTAGTGGAATTCAGCTCTTAGCTTTTAATTGTCTTAGGCTTGAAGCGTGGTCCTTGATGAAGGTAAACTAAAAAGGGGAAGGGGAGCAACTGTTAAAGTTAAGGGCCTAATTTAAGCTGAAAGCTTGAGTACAACAGCAACAACTCTGATCTCCTTACTGCAGTGCTGTATGAACACAAGTGTAGCATGAAATTCCTTGCACAAAACAACTAAATGATATCACACCTGAGGATAAACTGGTATCCATGACAATCTGTTTTGGCTAGCCAGTTAAAGGTACATACCTGACTCTGGTTGATATCAGCAGAGTGGAACGCATCGGAAGTTTTCAAGCTGGTGGTTTTTTGTCAGCTGGCAGCCTTTGTGCTGTCTCTTTTCTCCCTTTGCAAGCTGGGATACAGAATTCAGGGCTTACAGCAGCTGAGCGGCCAAACTTCTTTTAAGCTGGATCTTGACCAAAATGTACATGTGTCTTTTTAAATCTGTCTCCAGTGCCAAATGTTAGTACTTGCATACAGCCATGTGTAGAACAGAGTGCAGAAATACCAAAAAAATCATGTCCACAGAAAGAGCCTGTCCATAGAAATCCCAATAAGCAGTGTCTTTGGAAGGAGGTTAAAACAAAGAAGAAAATTAGACAGTCATACTTGCTACCAGAACTGCAGAATTCCATGTGATACTGCAGAGAGAACTAGAAAAATTGCTAGGAGACTGCAGCAGTTTATGTAGGAGGGTTGCCTTAAATCTCACCAGGTGTTTTAAGTCGGCATTTCGAATTTTCTTTCAAAGATTTTTGCTTTAAGATTTTAAAGGTCCTGAGTTCTTTTAATTCAGCCCAAGTAGTTTTAATATTGACAGCTGGAACATGTTGAAATGCAGTGGCAATAAAATTAGCTATTTTGATTTTTTTCCTCCGTTACAAAAACTTGCGTTTTAACCTGTTTTAATTTCTGTTAGTTTATCTCTATTTTGTCATAGGAGCTGGAGGGGGAAGAGGAGGGAGAGGAAGAGGAAGATGCAGAGAGTGATCCTAAGGTAAGCACTCTTTTCTTTGCTTAGGCATACTTAGTATATATTAACATGGTACAGGTTATAATCCTGAGCATCATAATTGACTATAATATATTTTATTAATCTTTTTTACAAACTAAAGGGTACAAACTCCTGACCACAACAATATTTTCTGTATCTTCCTCGGTACTCAGATTGCTCTTAAAAGAAAAGTTAATGTTCAGAGAAATTAAGGAAATGTGTTTATCTCCCAACCTGCACCAAGGAGGGGAAAAAAAAATCCTAACTGTGTGTCTTTACTTCGTGATGGTATCTCCATATATTTCTTTGGTTTTAGGTGTTTTATTTAATTTTATGTTTTGAAAATATTATTCTGTGGCCAGACTTCAACTTAAAACTAGACTGACAAGCCCTAAGTAGAGCTTTTTGTTGTTTTTTTTTCTTTATTAAAATTGTTCTTTTTAGTTGTCTTAATGGCAGCAGATCAGACTTCATATGTCTGTGTTCAGCTAGAAGTCAAAAAGTTAATCCACAACTTCAAATTTTAAACCTCACAAGACCTGGTTTAAAATTAAGTCTTTAATACGGGTTTGTGTTCCTTCTGGTAGGTATTTTTGATTCGTTCAGTCCGCACTAAGTTCATACTTACATTTAGTAAAGCTGGAACAATGATGGCAGACTTGCATTCTTTTAGTTCTTCAGACATCACCTTTTAATTTTTTCTAATGACACAGATGGAAAGAACAAAAGGTGTGTGTAACTGCTTGATTTTCGGATGAATGTCAGCGACACATTAAGCTATTGTAAGACATATAGGGTTTATATACCTCATATCAATAGTAAATGCTTTTTTTGGTCACCATGTCAAGGATTGAGCTTATGTTTCTTAATGGGAAATACTGTATACTAAAAGAAGCCTCTATTTTGTGGAAAGGTTGATCAAGCAGGATTAGAGCAGGAGAAGCAATGTTCTGGCTGTTCTAAAGGATCCAAATGCGAAGGGAAATGTAAAGGGTAAAAAAGGTGGGACAGCTGAGGAAAAAATGTTAGTTCCGAGTCAGTGTATTTCTACTGAATATCAAAATCCTCCTAAAGGAGGAAGTATGAAATATAGTATTCTGTAGGGGGAAAAAAAATCTTCACGTATCTTGGAAGGTTGTGCTTGTTGCCTCCTGTATTATTTTGTACATTTCACTTTTCACTCATGCTGACAGTTCCTTTCAATTTTTTCCCATTTAGGTGTAATTTAAGTCTGTTTATCATTCATACATTTCTAGGTAAGGTGGAATTCCATTCATACCTAACTTCAAAGATTCCCATTTGCAGCCATGCAGTGTATTTTGTTTTCTAATTTTCTCTTGTAAGGGGAAAAGAAATGGGGGAGTGGGGACTTCAGGTTTTAGGTGGTGTTAGTAGCTCAGAAATACAAAGAAATATATATATAGATATATATAGATGAATGCCTTTAAATTGTATAATTAGATTTTTATCAGAATGACTTCTTTGCCTTCCTGGCACAACTTCTGCTTTATCTTTGTGGCAGTCAAACTGTATTTTATACAGATGATAAAGGATACTGGGACCTGTCAGACTTTTTTTCTTGTTTTTGATTTGATGTTGCACCTCTCAGTTGTTTCCACTGCACTTGTAGGTGTTTTTTTTTTTTAAATGTCTCCTTCACTTCTCTAAAAGCTCTTATAAGTCGTTGACGTATTTGGTATGTCTTTTCCCTCATTCTCTTTATTTATGCTGCCTGACAAAGGCAGGCAGTCTCTTTAAGAGGCCCTTACTTGGGTGCTTGTGATTCTGAAAAGGTTTTGCTCTTCTGCTCATCTGACTCCTCTGTTTAAATTATTAAAAAAGGTTACTTCTGTTGTTTCCTGTCATCTTTTCCCTTCCTCTCTTCCTCTCTTCCTGTGCATCATAGAGAACGCTCTCTGCTTGCAACAGACTTTTTTCTGCTGTATCTTAAGCTTGTATCTTTGTTTCTTTCGTTATTTATGAGAAGCTGCACTCCTTCCAACTCTTCTTTCCCCCTAAATAATGCCGCCCTTTGCCTTTCTTCAACTCAGAATTGAGCGTAGCTTTTTATTTCCGATTTGATGCGCTTTGAAAGGCCAGCCACCCTTCTTCACCGTACGTGTGTTTATTCACCTGGAATAGAACATCCATTTGTCAGGACAGCTTATGTATCATCCTGCTGCAATCTATTACACAGCTGTCTTCCCTTAAAATTATAAATTGTCAGCCGCTGGCTTTATTTTTTTTCAAGTGAACTTAGAATTCTGGTTTTGCCTTGTACAGCTTATGCCCCTGAATTCATCTTCCATTGCTTCTATTGTTCACCTCTGTCCTTTGGCCCTGTTCCTTCCCCCTCTCTTTGCCCCCTGCTTTCCTTATATCTAGAATAGCTTTTCTTTTCATGTGCACCAAAAATAACTGTTCTTTGGTCCATTTTTACCTTCTAAATCCCATTTTGCTGTTTCAGTCATTTCTGTGTTACCTCTTTTTTTGTTGTTGTTGTTGCTGTACTTCATTCACTACATAAATGTCAACCCTTGTGGGTATTTTATTTTTATTTTTTGCTTTGACAACTTGTTCTCCTTCCTTCCTTGCACTCTTACCAGTTTGAAGTATATATGAGTTAGTTGTTCAGTGAGAACCAGGTCAGTATCATCTGTACAAAGGACTTAAGCTGTGCTACCTAAAAGCTGTGGCTTTGGAAGGCTAAGCAGTCAGATGATAGAAAGAAGCTTCAGAAGATAGCAAGAAAAGGTAGCTTGTTTTGTCTGGTACACTTTTCCATGTGCTTGAGTGCTCTGTTTGTTTAACTGCCTTTGTTTCACAATTACTGATTCTATGCTTGGATGGAGAAAGAGTTGCACGAGTAATGTAGAACAGTATTTGGAGCTATGAACTAAAAATCTGTGCTGTAGGCAGAGACTGTTAATGCTTCAAAGTGCCTGGTCTGTCTTTTAAGTAATAGCGGTGGAAGGATCTGCTAGCAAATTCATTTTCAGAACCTTTGCAGCACTTTGTCCGTTTGTAGATGAAGTAGTTCACATGCTTGCTTGCTTACCTCTGCTTAGTTTCAAACTTACTTCCCACGCGTGGATGTTTGGTATCCTTGCTTCCTCTCAAGAATATAGATTCTGAAATGATCAGAGATACTGTTTAGCTTTAATACTTCTATTTTGACTATTTCGTGGAAGATGTTTCAAATAACTGAAAGGCTTTCTTCCTTCTCTGCTTGACTGAACATAAGCTTTAATGCCTACTGTTTGTATCCATCCTGCTGCTGTTGGCAATCAAGTCTGCTTGGGAATCAAATACGGAGTCCCAAAGAGAACTTGATGGGCTGCCTATGCCTGCAAGGCTGCTTACACAGAGGGGATTGTGGTGTAACAGAAGCTTCACGAAAAGTGATTTGTAAAAGCGAGGAGGTGAAGGCTAGATTTTTCTTTGAATTAGCTAGGAATGTATCCTGCCTAATCTGCTTAAACATTGAAGAAGAATAGAAAGTCGTTATCTCTTTCAACACTAACTTGATGCAAAAAAAAAAAAAAAGGATCTAGTTTGAAAGTATTAAACTGCTGCAATGAATGGCATACGTGCTGTGGACTTAAGCCCCCATCCTGTAGGACACCAAATTTATCAGTGGAAGCTGTGGGCTCTGTGTTTAGACCATAGTAGCAATTTGTGAAGAGAAATTGATCTGTTTTTCTCTTCCATTTAGCCTATGATCTGGCAAATTTTAGGTGAAACTTTCTCATCAAATTTTACGCATGTCTTCCGAGTCCATAAGCAGTTGATGCAGTTGAGCTGATGTGGAGGGTGATGTCTGAGCAAGCTAGTCTTGCATATAAGCGAGCTAGCTTAAGTTTCTCTCTTGTGCTGTTCTTCTGGGTAATCAAATGCCGGGGAGGAAGAAAAGGTCCAGGTCCATAGTAGCCAATGCCTTTTTTTTTTAATCCTGAGCAAGTGATACAATGAATAAAATGATGTGGCAAAACTTTATGCCGATGCTTGCTAGCAAAAGGGAAAAAAAGTGAAGTGTCAAAATAGGTGCAGGTCTCGCTTCTTTAGCTTGTAGGTCTCCATTTGGAACAGCTTCTCAAACCGGAATCAAGGATCCGGAGTAGTTTAAACTGCTTTATGCACAGAATAAGTGAATGTTACGGAATACTTGCTTTAAAGATTTAAAAATAAAAAAAATCCTGCCACTTTTTGTGTGAAGCCATTGCTCATAACCACTATAAAGGATCTCCTTAAGACAAAAAGGATTCTTACTTTTCTCCATGGTAGCAGTCCTGTAGTAGTGATAGTGAACCTCAGTATGTGTTTGAGACTAAATTTTTTTGTTTTTTTAATATTCCTCATCTTTTGAGTCTCTCTTCTTGGCCTTTACTTCCCTGGCTGACACACTTTGCCACCGTTTCTGGGGTATCCTGGGAAGCTAGTTTAGGAGAATACAGCTAGAATGGGGGAATAAATAGGACAAGATCTGTCTGAGGCCAGTAAATGATACTACGGTAGTGGTCATTGACCAGATGTCAACCCACAGACACCGTGGGAAGAGCAAGCTCAAACTAATTACCTCGCATGACAGAGTATGGATGTAATCAGTCACGCAGTGCAGAGCCTGCTTTTTGACCTTCCAGGAAGCGTTATAGGCCAGAGATAACTTTCAGTTTACATGCGCCTGATAGGACAGTTGTAACCTGAAGAAAGTTGTATAGAGTCATCATTAACCTGCACTGTTGCAGTCTCAGGGTTGTGCTAGGATGCTGTATGTGGGGCTGAAAGGTAACTGAAGGCAGTTTAGAGCTCAAGGGCTATCTTAATCGTATGAGCCCTAGTTCTGAAGTGTAATACTAGTGCTGTGTTTCTGAAATGGTGGAAGAAAATTGGTTATGTTGGACCCCAGGTCTGAGGTATTGCCTTGTTACTTATGCCTACTTAAACAGGTGGTATGTATGATTGAGATAGATTGGTCCTCAACTGTAAGCTAAAAATAAATATAA